AAAGTGTGCATGTATTAGTATTATCTCAACTCGCTTCACCCATGTTGAAATATCATACTCTACAGGCAGAAATAAGACGAGGGTTAACAGGGCCTGGTCTCCTAGAAGCTTTAAGCTTGGTCCTTGCCGTTCAATGAATCAGCCTGTTTTTTATTAGTATTATCTTTATCCTTGTTTTATTAAGGGACTAATTGTATTGGAAATAGAGGTTGGGTCCTCTTTGATTTGACAGTTTGTTTACGGTACATACCCAAATCCTGGCTTCACACATGCCCCTCCTCTTTGCCCTTTTTGGATTTAGCCAGGAGTTAGGGGCGGAGTCAGGCACTGCCAGATGGCGACGGCAGAGTAGCACACTCTGAGCTTCAAAACGTCACAGAGGCTACGTCCATCTTTTATTTACAGTCTTTGGTCAACATCCTCCGGCCAAGCTGACTCACTTCCTGTTTGATCCTGCCGCACAATTGCATAAAATAAATTACTTTCAATGTTTTATTGGACCGAATGGATCAAATTCTAATAATAAATAGAGTCATTTAAAGGGTGTTGCAGTACCCTGTGTGGCCACCATGGTAAAATCCCCTCACAGCCCAGCTCCATTCCTGGGGTGTTACTCTAAATACAGCACGCTCTGTTGTGTGGTTAAATCCTTTTATAATTGGACCAAGAATCTGAAGAACTGCATTCATCTAAGTGGTGAAATGTATTATCACTTCTCTCAACACTGTAATCTTCTCCCGCGCACTGAAAAGCACCGTGATAGTCACAGTTAACTCCTCACCTGATGTTTTTATGTACCCAGCCTTCTGCTCACCACTGTTTATAATAGAACTAGGTATCATAGATACACATTTGTTTATTTCATACCCATCCAATAACGTAGAGGTTCTCCAACTATTTTGGCCACGGTAAAATAAATGAAAGGGATTTTTACTTCCAACATTTGCAACTCTATATCTTTTAATACAATAGTGAAATACAGTATTTTAAATAAGGCAGGATTAGTTGAACACTTCTAAATAACTTCATGTTTTTAATATATATATAAGTTTTGTAAACAATAAGTAACTACAACTTTTAGGTGTATAGTTGCACAAAGCACTCAAGTTAACATAAGTAGCTCAAAATGCACTGGTTGATCAAATGCACTTCAGTTACATCCTCCCTTGAGGGTATATGTTTTATGAACAGAAACACTTTAAATGTTCATGCAAACAAAATCTTGCTGTCTGGTTCCAGGAGATTTCCCTCGCTGCCACACGAGTGCAGAGTTTAGTGCTCATTTGTGTGGCAGATTCATGGAGGATCTGGGAGACCTGAGATGTCTCACAAGTAATCGGCCAGCAGCTGGTCGACAGTTGGCTGCCGGCCACCGGTCAGCGGGCCGAGCTGTTGCTTCGAAGATGACTACAAACAAACAAATCACTACAAAAATATAGATAAACAGTGATGTAAGAAGCTTGCTGTAGTGGACATTTTCCTGAGAAAGTCCTTATGCACAATCATCATTTATCAGGTGAAGATTTTTGTTTTTGCTTGGGGTTTTTTTTTTTTTTTTTTTTCCCTTTCTTTGAAAAATGCTTATGAGTCTATTGAATTTTTCTATTGTGACCCAATTTCTTTTCCCCCCTCCATGCCCAGGCGTTTTGACAAATGCACAGTCTCGTGGGAGGAGGCAGACACTGGAAAAGCATCTGACGCTTCCTGTCGATATAGAGAGATCCACCTCAGGCGCCGTCAGCTCCGTCCTTATTTGTCATAAGTGTCCGCTGTTTCCCATGGCTAAAGACAAAGGCCAAAGAACGTATGAGGAACATGCATTTTTAATGTGACATCCTCATCAAATTCACCACAGTGGACTGAGCAGAATGCCAGGACGCTTTATTCTTCTTCCAATTACAGTGAGACGTCTCAACAATATGAATGTAAGCTGTGAAGGGCACATCTGCCTCTAACATGACAAAGCCTGAACAGTTCAGCACTTCATCTCTTGTGAGTCTGAACTTGTGAACTTTATGTTGACGCTGCTGGTGCGCTGTTTGATTAGAAAATATCTTGCTTTTCGTTGAGATATTGGAAAGCGTCCCTCAGAGGTGCGGAATAGAGCGGGAAAGCGTAGAGAACCAAATCATCAGTTTAATGTCAGAGCCACATTATCTTCTCTTTGTGCCTCCTGTGAGGAGAATGATGTCTTCACTGATAGTGAGTAATAACAGGGACATAAGCAAGCAGTATATCACCATTAACAGCTTACATTATTTATACAACATGACGTGCTGGTGAATGCTGACTTGACCAGACTCACCTTTATCTTGTAGCAAATATGCTGACCATTACTCTCTCTGGCCATTATTTGACAGGACTGAAATGTCACCAGAGACTGAGAGATAGTCGGATTCATTGCTGCGTTCAGAGAGCGAGAGAGAGAGAGACGAGAGAGAGAGGAAGGGAGCGGGAATGAAATAATTTTTGCTGGCACTAAACTACAGCTTTCACTCTCTGATATTTCTTTTGCAGTGGTCGGTCCACACTCCATCATTAATGAGGGAGGCTCAATTAGACAAGGTCTACATGGGGGTTTTAAATGTCACAGTGCAGGTCCTGACATTTCTCTGTTTGATATGGAATCAGAATGGAAGCCCTGGAGTTCACAGAGAGGAACTAATCTCAACTTCCCAAATAACAAATTTCACCTCGTCACAAAGCTGTGAGCGAAGGCTGGTGCCGCCACTTTGGCGACATTTACACCCAACAATGCTAGCTTGGCCTTAATAGAGCTCTCTTAACGATTGAATTTACGAGCATGTTGTTAGTTTTGTAATTAGCCCTCGGAGGTTAGCATGATGCAAGTAATGAATCCTCTTTGGGTGTTTTCATCCAAAAGGTATTTGTTCATCGAATCAAAAAACGTACAATAGATAGTGATCTTACGAGTGATTGTGTATCCAAAGAGGGAAACGGTTATAAATCTAGTTGGGCTAATTGGAGGACCACAGTAAATTAGCGCTGAAGGTGGGGCTTGTAGTTGAGAAGAGAATGCAACTATATTTATGTCTTCGTCTCTCAGATATTAATATTAAATAAATATGTTTCTTGGAAATTCCTTAAAGAGGCAATGTTTTGCTCTTATTTTGCTAACATAGCTAACTGTTAGCAGAAGTAGCGAAGTCTCGTTTTACG